CATCAATTGCTTTCATACAACTCTCTTCTGTTTTATAACATTATCATTTGCTTATGTCATGTCAGTCAAAATTAACTATACTTGTGAATGCTGAATAGTCATTCCATTTAAAACTAATAGTCCTCATTTCATTGCTTGAGTCATCACATACAAAAATGTTGAACTAGTTGTCAAAATCTGTCAAGCTAATTTTACATTTTTTTAAAATCTTTTTTTTTTTTATCTTTTTTTTTTTTTATCCTAAATTGAACAATTTCTCTCAGGTGAACCTCAGCTTCCACTGATGAGAAGGGATGTGCATGAATGATTTACAGTACTATGTGTGTTGTATGTTCAGTTCCAATATGTACTGCAATATTGTTTACAGTTGTGCACAGCTCTACCCAAAGGGAGTTTATGTTTGTTGTAAATAAGGGTTTATTTTTTATTTTTCATAATGCTGTGAACAAATTAGAATTGCAAAGAGCATATGCAGTAAAAATGTGAAACATGCATATTCAGTGTCTTGTACTCAGTTACCTCACTAAATACAGTAGTGTAACTTTACTGTAGTTTTCAAATGGCTGTGCAAATAGTATATAGTGCTGTCTTGAGCATTTTCGGGTAGTGTCACCAAGATCTGACTTTTTTGTATTGGAAAACATTTACAGAGTAAACTGTCATAATGAAAACTTGACAAAGCCATTTGACTATCTTGTTCATAAACAATGGTGTCAGGACTTTTCATCTTGATGACACTGATACTTCCATTGACATGAATACTTGCTTTTGAGGAATGAGCTATCCATTTTGAGCAAGTGACACGCTTTTGCAGGTTATCAACTAGGTTTTGCAGTTTGCACTATTTGTTTTTGAGAACTGCAAATGTAAATAGTGATGTGAGAAATGCACCAAAGCGACTGAGAAAAACTGTAACATAAGTTTTTGTTTCAGACTAACATCCATTTGAGTTATCACTTTTTACTATTTGAATAAAAATCTGCAGTCTACTCTAAATAATATAGTTACCACTGTTTAGCATTTAATTTTCACAGCAGTTTCAGTGACTCACTATACTGAGAGCTGACATACCGGCAGAATTAAATGAAGCTGTTGAACAGATTTAGCCAGTTAACACATGAAAGAGGTCAAAGCTGTCAAATCTCAAAGTTAATAATCATCTCATCGTATTCAGTCCAAATAGACATTTCTGTTAAGACTTTTAGCAACTATAAAGACAGACACTGACTCCCACGCCTTTATTAGAATTAATTAAAAATATTTAGCAGGGAGCATATTCTTATCATTGTCAGCAAAGAAACTCATTATTTCTTTTCCAAAGCCTACAGTAGTGAGCTGCCTTGCTGTTCATTGTACAGCTGTTAAAATTGACATTGCTCTACATTGATATGCAATGCAATAACAATTAGTGCACACATCTAATAATATTAACATAAAGCTGCAATACTCCAGAATTGAATTGAGAATGCCTTTTAAAGTTCCAATTCAATTCCTGACTTTGGACAGACAGACAGACAGACAGACAGACAGACAGACAGACAGACAGACAGACAGACAGACCAACGCATTCTCATCCCAAGGCGTAATATATTGACTCTTTTGCCAAAGCGTCTATATCCAACGCATATGGCACCCTTTAGCGTCAATATAACACGCTTCGGTTTTGGGTAGGTTTAGGTCTGGGGTAGTGTTAGGGTTAGACCACTAGGAGGCGCCATATATCTGCGTCTCATATGACGCTAAAGGGTGCCATGTGCGTGGGATATAGACGCTTTGGCTAAAGAGTCAGTATATTACGCCTTGGGATAAGAACGGGCTCGACAGACAGACAGACAGACAGACAGACAGACAGACAGACAGACAGATAGATAGATAGATAGATAGATAGATAGATAGATAGATAGATAGATAGACAGACAGACAGACAGACAGACAGACAGACAGACAGACAGATAGATAGATAGATAGATAGATAGATAGATAGATAGATAGATAGGTTCGAAGGGATGCATCTTTAGGGCCTCTAGGACCACGGAGAGATCCCAAATAGGAACCGAAGGTGGGCGCGGAGGGTTCATCCTTCTGGCTCCTCTCAAGAAGTGGATGACCAGCTCGTTCCTTCCTAGTGACCGGCCTTGCTTCGACTCAGCGAAGGCTGCAACGGCCGCCACGTATACTTTGAGCGTGGATGGGGACCTGCCCTTATCCAGCAGCTCTTGAAGGAAACCGAGCACCTGCGAAACCTCACCCGTTCTGGGGTCCAGATTTTTGTCGGTGCACCATTTGGAGAACACAGACCATTTAGACGCATATAGCCGTCTCGTTGAGGGGGCTCTAGATTGCGTGATCGTGTTCATAACTCCTTCTGGCAGGATAACGGGTATCCGTTGATCAACCACACGTGCAGAGACCAGCGCTCTGGGTGGGGATGCCAGATCGAGCCGCAGGCTTGAGAGAGGAGGTCCCTCCTCACCGGAATCGGCCACGGGGCTGTGTGTGACAGCCGTGTTAGTTCCGGGAACCAGGTTTGGTTCTCCCATCGCTGGGCTATGAGGAGAACCGGGCTGTGCGATTCCCTGATTCTCTTGATTACCTGTGGTAACATAAAGATCGGAGGGAAGGCATATAGCGGGCGGCTGGGCCAGAGTTGGGCCAGCGCATCCTCGTTCTTTGAAAAGAACACTGGGCAATGAGCGTTGTCCTTTGACGCGAATAGGTCGACTTCTGCTCTGCCAAAGAGGCGCCATAACAGCTGGACTGTTTGGGGGTGTAAAGACCACTCCCCGGGGGGAATATTGTCCCTGGACAATCTGTCCGGTCCTTCGTTCAGGATCCCTGGCACCTGCGTCGCTCTCAGCGAGCGCAGGAAGCACTGGCCCCAAACGAGAAGGCGTTCTGCCAGATCGCAGAGGCTCCTGGATCTGACACCGCCCTGGCGGTTCACATAGGACACAACCGACATGTTGTCCGAGCGGACTAGAATGTGTTGGTCCTGTATGAACGGGAGGAAGCGCTTCAGCGCGTTCTCGACCGCCAGCATCTCCAGACAGTTTATGTGAAGGCATTTCTCTCGGTCTGACCACAGGCTAAAGACCGGTCTGACCTCGAAAAGGCCGCCCCAACCTGAGTTGGAGGCGTCTGTCGAGATGATTTTTCGGTGGGAAATCGCTCCCATTGTCACCCCCTGCTGGTACCAATTGGCCGCTAACCAGGGCTGCAGAGCTGAAATGCAGCTCTGAGATATCCTGATCCGCTTGTAGCCACGCGTCCACCCCTGACGGGGTACGCGGGCGTTCAACCAGCGTTGTAGCGGGCGCATGCGCAGTAAGCCCAGCTTAAGCACTGCTGCAGCTGAGGCCATACAGCCCAGCATCCTCTGAGATTTTTTCAGGGAGGCGGTTCTGCCCTTCTGGAAAGATGCGGCTAGGTGTCGAACACGGCGCGCGTTCTGTCGACAGCTGAGCCTTCATAGCCACGGAGTCCAGTTCCATCCCTAAAATGGAGATTGACTGGCTGGGCCGTAATGAGCTCTTGGTCCAGTTGACCGTGGGACCCAATCTTTCCAAGAGACTGAGAAGCATAGTTCTGTGAGATACGAGCTCTATCTCTGACTATGCTAGAATCAGCCAATCGTCCAAGTAGTTCAGAATTCGCACACCCTGACATCTGAGGGGGGCGAGCGCCGCGTCCATGCACTTCGTTAATGTACGCGGTGCCAGGGACAGGCCGAACGGGAGGACGGTGTACTGATATTTCTGGCCGTCGAAGGCGAATCTCAAGAATGGCCTGTGACGGGGTATAATCTGTATCTGAAAATACACGTCTTTCAGATCGAGAGATATAAACCAGTCCCTCGGGCGAATTTGCGTGAGGATATGCCTGGTTGTAATCATTTTGAACGGTCTCCTCATGAGAGCTTTGTTCAAAAATCTCAGATCTAATATAGGCCTCAGGCCTCCGTCCTTCTTTGGTACGAGAAAATAACGGCTGTAAAAGCCTGAGTCGCTCAGAGAAGGCGGCACCGGTTCTATAGCTCCTTTGCACATCAGTTTGGCTATTTCTGCGCGGAGTAGATGCTACTAGGTGCTACTTTCGCGGTCACTGTCGACTCGGTCCGAGCGTGATAGCCCTGTCTTATTGTGCTTAGCACCCACTCTGAAACCCCTGGAATGGCTTCCCATGCTTGTGCATGTGTGGCCAGGTGGAGAATGGCCTCCGGGTTCCGGTCGCCGCACACTGAGGGGTTCGGGAACTGAAACGGAGATGAGGGCGCGGCGCGGTGCTTGGACGAAGCGGCTCGCTGACAGCCGCTTTGGGCTGGTTCGCACGTAACAACCCGATTACATTGAATGGGGAGCGTTTTACAATGGCTTTCTGAAGCGCGAGCGCGCTTGAAGCGGAGCGAATGATAGCACACGCGAGCGCTCGTGAGCGAGCTCGTAGCATACATTCGCAGTCTGACCGGTATGAGTGCTTAAACACGGCGGCTCGCTGACAGCGATGGCAAGCTGTTTCATATGTGACGTCCTGGTTACTTTGAGCGGGGACGTGACTTACACTCATAACCTGACTTACTTGAGGTTGAAATGGCCTTGTGACAGAGCGGGCATGAGATGGACGCGAGCGCGAGTTCGCGGGCGCGATGTTTACATCTGACACTCGAGCGGCATTTGCCAGCTTTATGAGAGTGGGCTCTGTGGGGCTGAGGGACACATGTTTTTGAGTGCTTGTGTGTAGGGGTGAACACTGGGACGTGGGCACATTTTCTACACTTAAAACACCAGCGGCGTGAGCCGGATAAACAGAAAATACACTCTTTATGAGATTTCTGTGGGTCGCCGTAAAAACGGCGTTTGTGTGCAGGCGAGAGGGCATTATAGCTGGCTCGTTGGCTGCTAAATAATCTCCTGCAGTAGCCCTCTCTGCGGGGACTGACAAGGCGTGGCTTTTCAACGGTGGTCCGGCCGCAGCGGGACTTAACCGTCTTTTCTCCCTTGGTGTTAGGAGGGCTTTGCTTGCTCGGGTTTCAACACAATCCTCGGCCGGGGTCCCCGCGGGGGAGGCGGCCTGTGGCGGCTGTCCGAGCGCGATCTAAGGCGGCCGCCCTGTCGACGCTGCGAGGCGGCAGGCTTGGCTGGACGCTGAGTGGAGCTTCTAGCAGGCGGCTTGTCACGTGAGCGGCCTGTGGCTGAGCTAGAGCGTCGTGGCAGAAACAAATTCATGGCCTGCGAGGTCTTCTGTACTTCGGAGAAGCGATCCACGATGCCGTTGACAGCTGGGCCGAAGAGACCGGTGGGGGAGAGCGGCGCGTTGAGGAAAGTGGCATGCTCAGACTCCCTCATGTCTGCGAGCGTCAACCAGAGGTGCCTCTCTGTGGCGGTTAGCGCAGCCATGGATCTGCCGATGACCTGAGCTGCGGCCTTTGTGGCGCGGAGGGAAAGGTCCGTCGCGCTCCTTAGATCAGCGATCGCAGCTGGACCCGAGCCTTTCTCTTCCCATTCGCGGAGGAGGTCGGCTTGCAGGATCTGCAGAATGGCCATAGAGTGCAGGGCGGAAGCAGCCTGTCTGGCGGCGAAGGCACGGCCGACGAGAGCTGATGTGGTCCTGCAGGCTTTTGAGGGGAGCTACCGCTTCTTCCACTTGGGGGATGGAGACATACCCCTTCTCGGCGGCACCGTCCACGCGGGAAAGCGTCGCGGAGACACTGGTGTAGAGCCTCGCGGAGAAAGGTGCATTCCCTGATTTAGAGAGTTCAGCGTGGAGCTCCGGCAGAAAAGGAGCAGGCCTTGAAGCCGGTGGCTGATGGCGGCGCTGAAGAAAACAGCCGTCCAGGCGGTTAAGCGCGGGCTCCTTGGACGGTGACCACTCGAGGCCGAGGCGGTCGACGGCCTTCACCAGGAGACGCATCAGCTCGGCATCCACACCCGAACATGTCCGTCCGGACCCCTGGATGGAAGCAGAGGAGGAGTGGAGAGATCCAGGCCATTCCTCGCTGTCCGAGGCAAGGATAGAACAGCTGTCGTTCCGGCATCCCCTGAGCACGGCGCTTCTTCTTGCGCGGTGAAATGGAGGGCGGAGTGACAGCTTCAGCGCTGAAGAGCTCCAGACGAGCCCGCATGGTCTCCATAGACACCCGACGAAAGTGCGAGGGCTGTGTGGTCCTGGCCCAGGCAGAGAGCGCAGATCACATGGCGGTCTCCGGCGCTGAGCGGGGCTCGGCACGAGCCACAGGACGTGCAAGGCATTCTTAAAAGAACGCTCGCGCTCTTTTAGTAAAAGTGTGTGTCGCAGCGGCGAGCACACACAGACAAAGTAAAACAGTGACAAAGAGCAGAAAAGGATATTTGTCGCCGGATAGCGTTGCTGGCACGGAAGGCTGAAGGCGGCGAGAAGTCGACCGGCTTCCTCAGGCGCTTTCCTCTATAAATACTGTATAACCACTGCTGAACTGAGTTGTGCTGTTGATGTCGTGTGCACGCGGACAGAATCCAAATGATAAATCCTCCTGTGATCTTCTCAAAATTATAAAAAAAAATAACAATATAGTTGAAGGATAGAATTTGAAGGAAATGGTAATGTAGTGGATTTCACACTGGAGGTGGTGTTGGGAGAAACTTGGCTCATTCTCGTGTTACACAGCATGTGTGAGCTTTAACAAAAACCAGAGCTTCAGCAAAAACGAATAAGGTTCATTCTCATGTATTATGCAGCACATTTGAGCTTCAGCAAGAACCAGTGAGGTTCATTCTAAGCCCCTTTCACACAGAGATTCCGGAAAATATACAGATAATGTGTCCCGGGATCGTTTGATTTTGGTTCATTCACACTGCCAGTGATCTTCCGGAATTTGTGAGTGCGTTCACACATCCCCGCAAAGACACGTGCAGTGTTGTGTGTAACGCGTTACAAAGTAACGCGTTACAGTAACATAACTACTTTTTCGGGTAAAAAGTAGTGTAACGCGCTACTACTGAAAATTTGGTAACGAAACGTAGTTCCTTTTTCAATTCGGACAGATTATCTGTCCCTGGGATTTGACAGCGATCTCCGTCATTTGATAGATTTGACCGCGATTGCCATCTCCGTAGTGAACCCCCCAGAGATAAATGCACATAATGGATTACATAATAAGAGAGTAGCCTATTTCTTTTCGTTTTGAATTGTTTCGTTTAAAGACATTTCAAGCTTAAATTCTATACGTTGAGTTTCGGTTAATTTATGATGAGATGCTCCAGTTCACGTGCAATGCAATTGACCACGCCGGCGCTTCCATGATTATATTGTCTCCTATTGCTTCTTACTTGCAGGCATTTGGTTGATAATAAATTGATTAAAATTAAGCTACAATTTATACAAAACGAAATTCGCTTTAAAGAAAGGCTTTCTTCAAAACAAAACTTAATGAAGTGGTCAAAATCATGTCTGATTGACTCGATGTCTCCCGATATATTGCGCATCCATCCTTACTCGCGCTGTTCACTTTTCATAATCAGCATAGATGGGAAAAAATAACATTATACTATTTTAACAAATATGAAACTAAATGCGCTTATTTAATGGCTACAACACGTAGGCTAGTAGGCCTACAGACTCTCTATTTGTATATTGCTGCACATTCATTTAATTCTGAATTTTGCACACATAAGTTGAAAGGCATTTGTTTACGTGCGTAGTAAAACATATCTGCAACATTTATCAAGTTCACGGATAATTGTGCGTGCATTTATTAATCATTATGATACTAAAATCATAATAAAGTCTATATATGTACAAAAAATCAGATGAGCCCATGAACGCAACGTGTTTACTTACACGTTAAGCATTTTCCTCCCATAGAAAACCATTATAAGAACGCTTAATTTGGCTTAATGCAGATTAGAATGTCCCCTTCTTATGTCTAAATAACAAGATAAGTTTTCTTTTTTTTTCTTCATTATGCGGTTCAGGACTTCCATAGAATACAGCCTGAATATAATTACTTCCAGAAATGATTTTTGGGGGTGCTAACGGGGTGCTTTGGTCTTTCTTGGGGGCTTTCTTTCTAGCCCCTCCCTAGCGCCGCCCATGCATATGCCTATCCATTAACCGGCATTTCTTCATAAACATTAAAATTTTTGATAACTGCATTATGCATTTATGACATTATATATGGCATTATGCATAGTAGAACTTTATGTAGGCCTACACATTTAGGAACAGATATTGGGTTCTGCCAAAGTCAAGCAACATAAAAGTAACGTAAAAAGTTACTTTCTATATGGGGTAACTAAGTAACGGATTACTTTTTTAAAGAAGTAACGAGTAACGGGTTACACTACTTTTTAAAAGTAACTTCCCCAACACTGGACACGTGACGTCAGGATGTGACATGTAATATATCCACAGCGTCTAAGTTTGCTTATGATCTGCGATTTCTCTCAAGATACAACGCTCATGCTTTTTTTTATTCTGAGTCGACCATAAACTACCATATTGCATACCGTTCCACTAAGCTGACAAATTATCTCAGCGTCATCACTACGACACACCATTGGTCCTGGCTTTTGTTCACACGAGGCGTGTTCTGGGACTGATTCCAGCATTAATCCCAGGACATGTTTGTGTTCACACAGAAGGCACTCTAGGAATTTTATGGCAATTTCACGGGATCAACGCACTGTTTGAAAGGGGTTCTAGTGTTACGCAGCACATTTGAGCTTTGGCAAGAACCAACGAGGTTCATTCTAGTGTGTTACACAGCACGTTTGAGCTTCAGCAAGAACCAACCAGGTTCATTCTAGTGTGTTTTACACAGCACGTTTGAGCTTCGGCAAGAACCAATGAGGTTTGTTTATTTTATGCAACACATTCGAGCTACAGCAAGAACCAATGAGAACAAATTGACAGGTGCTTTATGATCCACCTGACTCCCATAGAGGTTTTTCCCCTAAGACAATGGGCCTCAATGGAAGGGAGATTTGTAGAAGTTACAGCTGTCCTCAACATACCAAATAAAACAAGAATTTCATGTTGGTAGAGTTGCACAAAATGTGGTCAGACAAGGTTAAGGTTTAATATCATTTATTAAATAATCATAGAATCAGTCTCACTTCTCCACTAGAAACCACAGTTTGGCCAGAAGTGGTAGCATTTAAATGAACGTCCCTTCCTAAAAGTGCAAGAAAACAAACAGAATTTAACACTCCCACAACTTTTAAAACACAAGCTAAATTAAACAGTTTAAATAACAGGAAGCACTGACTTTGCCTGGAGCAACTTTGCTGACAAGAGCCAGAAGAGGGATGGCACACCTCTGTACTGCAATGGATGAAGACCTGAGACGAGAAACAAAGCTAGCATTAGGAACCAAGAGATAGTTGAAAACTGACACACTGGGTACTGTACCGTTTCCTGCAGAGGAGCCAGTGATGCTGGATCTACAAATGTGAACATCTTCACAACAAAGCGCTTGTAGTGGGTTGGAAACTGAAGACCAGATGATCCAGCCACGGGAACCAATGTGGTCAGGTAACGATCATCCTGGTAAGGGCATCTGAAAGGCAAAGAGGCCGTCAGAAACACCTTACTGCACACTAGATGGATAAAGACTGGCCTTACTCACCCATCAACCAGAAGGTCCCACTGGGGTAGACTGAGTGGACTAGGGGTTGATGTCACCCAGCAATGTCCCAGCATCAAGACAATGTTGGGGTCGGTCCTCTCCAAAATGTGCACCTCAACATACACAGGTTCCCGCAAGACTTTTGTGACCGGATAATCAGCATCACTGTAGTAGGACGTGTACGCCTCATCCCCTGAGGAAGAATACAGTGTTTAACTTGAAACTGCTGAGTCTGTTTCAAGTTAAACTTAGTTAAACTGCTGAGTTTAACTTAAAACTGGAGTTTTAGAAAGGCTTTAGGCATACTTGGGACAAACACTTACCTTCTGCACAGCCTTTGGTGACACATTGACCATTTGCCAGTCTAAGCTCCACTCTGAGGGGTCCAGGAGCAGCTACTGGTGGAGGTGGAGGAACAGTGTTGACCTCCACAACCAGAGCTTCCACAGAAGTACCAGAGTACCTACACTGGAAGAGAAGCCTGGACAACAAACAGTGAGCTTGTAGCATTTGTCCAGGATTAACATTTATGTTAAAGCATGCATCACTTACTCAAAATGGCTGTCCCTTGTGATGGAACCAAGTGGTCCCATACCCACTTCATACGAGGAGGTCATTCTGTTTTCATACACCACATATCCACTGTCCTCCTGCAAATAGTAACCGTTGGCATCCAGTCCATTCCAAGCCTTGCAGAACAAAACCACAAGCAGCTACTCACCATCATGCTTGTGCCACATGCAGTGACAGGGAACTGATATATAGCAAAGAAAGGTGTGGATCCCACAGGACTGCAAGCTGGATCATTTCCACCCAGGAGACGGACTGAATCCAGGCTCAATCGAGGCAGCGTAACATCTCTAGCCACCACTACCACAAACTGACCATCTCTTATACACTGGACAGTCACTGAAACAAGGTACAAGAGCAGGTTATTGCTGAAGATCAGTTTAACATGAACACCTTTACATTGACTCAACACTCTTACCTGCCTTCCCATAGTAACACTGCTGTCCGTTAAAGCAGCAGTTGATAGCTGCACACTCAGCACCACTGATCCCAGGTGGTCCACATTGGATCTGCTCATAATCAGATACAGTACATTTGTCAAGCGGCTCTGCCTGTGCCACTGGCTGCTTAGGCTGAAACTGCTGAGGAAACTGTTGACTAGCTTGCTGTTGAACTGACTGAGGAAACTGCTGAGGAAACTGTTGACTAGCTTGTTGAGCTGGTTGAGGAAACCATTGACTAGCTTGCTGTTGAACTGACTGAGGAAACGGTTGACTACCTTGCTGTTGAACTGATTGAGGAAACGGTTGACTAGCTTGTTGAACTGGCTGAGGAAACCGTTGACTAGCTTGCTGTTGAACTAACTGTTGAAACTGCGGAGAAAACTGTTGACTAGCTTGCTGTTGAACTGGTTGTTGAAACCGCTGGTCAGTTTGCTGAAACATCAGAGTTTGAGGATTCTGGGGAAGATTACTCCACTTTGGAACAGCATGACAGAAAGCACCGAACCAAACACAAAGTGCCAGAGACTGAACTGCATACCAACTTCCTGCCATTGTTCAACAGCTAGTCACACTGTTGAGATGCTGCCCTTTGGTCTTTTTGTACTCTACAGATTTTGGCAAATTAATGATACTCCCTCCCTCTTCGTTAACAGTCATGATTCTCCAGACTTGTATGAGTGGGAGTTTATGCAACTGGGTGATTCCATTGGTTCATAAGAATAAAGTTATTCCTTGTTCTTTTCCACCCTTATTAAAGATGAAGGGTGTTGTGGCAGTCTTTACCATGGTAATCTGTTTACAGTATTACATTGCATACATACTGTAGTGTAAAATGCTGTATTTGATGCCATCTGTCTCCCTTCTACTGGTGCATGTCTGATCAATCTAATGTTACACAGTCATTGACTGTTTCTTCTCCCTTGTACTCTATCCTGATCTATGTTCACAAATTGCTTTGCTTATGTCTTACACACACACACACATAATAGGCAAACGGAACGAGAAAGGATGCATATCAAAAGTTTAGTAGAAGATAGTAAGAGCTTTATGAAAGGCAGTTACTGTGAATGAAACATTTGTATAGATTAAACACTTATTTTGTGAAAAGGATACTTTGTGATTTTGTGTATTGCAATTCAAAATATGCAATGTTTGAAAAAAAGTCCACTTTTTGATCTGTTGTGATATTACACTAGGAGTTTTGAAAATGAACCGATTTATTGGGAAAATTGCGGCAAAGCAATTTAATAAACTGTAAAATGTTTTGTCGATTCGCTGAGTCTGACAATTATATTTGCAAGGCAAAAAAATAAGGTCTATCTGTTTCCATTTAAAATATATAAACATCCAAAAACACATGTTTACCTTATAGGCAAAATTGCGTATATATTTTATTTGTTTAAAACAATTTTAAATACCAGTGAAAAAGAATGAAAAAACTTTCTCTGAAAGTAGGCCTATTTTATAAAATGTTGATTTTATGGATATTTTGATAGGCTACATTTATTCTAAAACAAGGCAAGGATACTGAACTATTTTTAGCAATGTAATGTGACTGCACAAATGGCATTTATAGTCCGTATCCTTGTCTTGTATCTTTAAACAAGGTATCATGTGGATGGGAATGGTAATGATTTGCAGATGAGGATATGCATAGTAAAACTAGGCATTGTAAGCTCCATATATGGTTATTTAAAGACCCACTCCGATGAAATTAATGTTTTTCTAGGTGTTAACATGTTCTTGTGGCATTTTTCTGATGTTAGAGGACATACCTTGAGAAAAATAAGCTCAAAGTTGTATTTCTGAGTATTTCTACATTCAAATGGCTGTGAATCAGTAGCAGACGCTAAAATGCCGGCTAAAAAAGACTGGAGTTGTGACGTAGTAACTCCACTGGGCGTCTCCACACGCGACGTCTTGGAGTGAAATAATGATCGGTGATCGGTGATAACTTTGATTAACTTCGGATAATAATAATTAACGTGTATATAATACTGTTGCCCCACCGGTATTGAGGGTGTAAGCTAGCGGGAGAGACAGAGCTCTCAGCAACGGGCAGGGGGAGGGGCGTCTCCGTGCCAACGGCTCCGCCCACAACGCAGAGGCGAATTGCTAATGAGCTACTGCCGCTCTGCTGAAGCGAAGTCCCAGAAAACGGCGCAGGTTTTGTGATTTTGGCTAAAAATGGCATATCATAATTTAAATACCACTGGGAATGTTTAAAAATAGCTCAAAATATGATCGGAGTGGGACTTTAAGGGAGAAGATGCATACACACACAATCTTCGGGGAATTTTGCACAGGTTCTGGTGTACACATGGTTTTATAAATCTGAAGACTTAGACTGACTCTCTCGCATGCCGTATTTTGAGTTTAATAACCACTAACAGTCAAAAATAATAATATACAATACACAGAAAATCAACTTCCAAAAGTAAATCAAATAAATAGGCTACAATGTATTGTGCCAAAGATTTAATTAGATTGTTTTGAAATATGAATACATTTCTTTCTGGTTTTGAGGTTTTGTTTATGGCAGCCATAGTACCTTTTATGGTTAAAACATTAGAACATTACAATCTAAAAAAATAAAAATAATTATAAAGCAGAAGTTAAATCACTACATTAAAAATTAAAATGAATAATACAATAGCACAGACTGAATTTTTACTGGTAACAGGAACACACATTAACTCATCTGGGCTTATAGGCTATTAGCCTATTTGGTTTACCCGATTACAATAGTCCCTTTACAGTTACTGCTAACATAAAAATACACTTACTTGTAGGTTTAAAATTGTACATAAGACACATTCAATGTCCAACAACAAATATTTTAACACAATGTATATTTTAGTCAGAATTATTACACTCCCATTCTGCGCTTCGTTTGGCTCGCGTGCAAAAGCCTATACTCATGACAGCAAAATGAATGGAAATTTTTGTGTGACTTTCTAACATTTACAGATGGAGAATATACACGTGAAATGTAAGTTACAAATTAGTGGGATTGTGTGAACTTAAATTGTCCTTTATTGTACCGCTTTAATCCCGGCTGATTTGTCAGGTTAATTTAGGTCAGGTTTTGGACTGTAATCCCCACTTTAATAAACAGGGATCAGCATCCTATTCTTCTGTAATACAGAATGACAGCACATCTGAAGATCTTGAGCTACTGTACAGGCATGAATTTGTATTTCCTGCAGCCTGAGGCTTATTTATTTCACTTTTGGGCCTTATTTACAACTGGTATTAAGATGCATTTTCGTAAATCCGATCACAAGTTGACGACGCTAAATACAAGTGTAAACGGGTTTAAAACATTTTGAGCTTGTCCAATTTCGACCACTTCCAGAGGTAGCTGAAAATGTATTTGACCGGATTGCTTTAGTGTAAACGCTCATGTGCTCAAATGCATTCGAACAGCCACCAAACACCGCCTACTCTCCCCTACTGACTTAATGCGTAAAGATTATATGAAGTGAGCTATAGCCAGACGGGATTTGATTTAAACTTAACTAAAGGTAACTAAAGGTTTGGTTTGAAGACAAAAATGTACCAAGCACAATGTTCTCAATGTTCTTTGCTGCACTTCATGTGTTTCTCCATTGTCTCTGGTCGGTTTCATATGTAAATTGCGCGAGCCTATTTTGACCATTAGGTCGAAAGATCTGAAAAAAAGCCCATAGATTTACCCACCCATAGACCGTCCCCTCGAAGAAATCAGGACAGAAGTCGATGAAAGTGGACAAAAGAGAACGTTAACGGTGGACAAAAATTAAAACGCGGGGAAAAAACGGGAATGTGTCTCCCTCTTCTACTTGTGATCCGATCAACCAAAACGTATCTTAACCCTCTGGGGTCTGAGGTGTTTTTGGGGTCCTTGAGATGTTCTGGTATGCCCTGACATTTGTGCTTTTTTCAGTTGCTTAGAAACATATTAATGGCACTGGTGAAATTACACTCTATTTAGCACAAATAGGGCTACCATAATAATTATGTTAGCAACATGTATGTACATGTTTGTATTTTTGAGAGAATATTGTTTATGCATGGTTATTGAAAAAACTAAAAACTAAAGTTTCTGAAATAAGGGCACAAAACACACACTAAATATGTGTCCACAAGACTTTTGACTAATGGATGTTGTCGCTTAGAGTTTAGGCTTCAAAATGATCTGAAAATCATCCCGTCTAATCATTCACATAAAACAATAGATTGTTTTAAATTGTGAAAAACATTTTTTTTGTTTGCAAAGGCAATATGCGGATGGGCGTGAACGGCCCAACCCCTATCATGAATAGTTAAGTGGTTCTCACCTGAGCAGACAATGACCCTGCATAATAATGAGCCTTTCATTCAGGGGTGTCACACAAGAAAGAATGCAAGGACAATATATAAATAAATATATATATATATATAAATATATATATATATATATATATATATATATATATATATATATATATATATATATATATATACAAACAATCAAAATATAAATGAAAGCCAAAAGCACATTTTTAGTCATACCTGGAAACAAATCCTGGTCAAATAGGCTATATGGGCCATTCTACAGAATTGGTTCAAAGTTTGAGTTGGAAACATCTTGAAAATAAAATTGTCTTTTTCCATAAATGTCTTATAGAGTATTATTTTTTAAAGTAGGCCAATACATTTTATCATACATATTTCAAAGTTAAGGATTCATTATTTTGATATAGCTTGCATTGGAACAAACACTATAACAGTTGATTAGTTTATTTGTGACAAAACATACTATATATTTAACATATGAGCAGAAACGGTCTAACAAAAGCTTATTTGATGTCTATTTTATAGCCTAAAAACTTTATAATCTATCCAAAATTAGTCAACGAAATGTTGTCATTACAGACACTAGTATATCGCGATTAGAAGAAATCTCAGTAGGCTATAGCAATATAGTTTGGATGTGTTCATGTAAAAATAACGTTTACTAATGTACAGTAGTTAGTCAACCAGAATGCCTATTACCGCCGCGGCAAATCCACCGCCCTAAAAATAAACCAGTCGCATTACAAAGTCGTTCGCGAAATGACCGCCAGGTGGCGCAAAGGGACATTTAGCAAAACGTAAGTGGGGCAAGTAACAGTAAGGATGAAATACTACAAGTTATGGTAATTTCCAAATAAGCCTACAACAAACATTTATTTTTAAACAAACATTTTTAAATATGCAACATGCACGTTTAAACAACAAACAATACAATCTGAACCAGCGCTTCTGCTCCTGTATTGAGACATGCAGCGCATTTCAGTTACAATCCTGGTTCCAGTGGCCTTAATACCAGCAATAAACACGGTCTTGTTGTGAAGGGGCCTTTACATTTGCCAAAAAAATAAAAAAACAAGCAGGCTTTTCATAAAAAGTAACACAATTAGTTAATTAGTTTAGGAACAAAATTGTTACTACTTTTAAAAGTAACTTTCCCCAACACTACACACAAATATCGATTAAAATAGATTTAAATTGGATTTAACTATTATATTTTGGTATTGAATGAAACAAAAGCATGTTTATAATCACATTTTTCATGGTTCCATCTGTTGTCTTGCATGAATTGTTCATTCTGGGATTTCCTTATTCAAAAGGGATGTAATTCTCCTTTAGTATTCGGTCAAAATGGGGTATCTTTTATGTTGCATTTGTATTATTTTTTGCCTTCTGTTTGGAACAGTC